ATTAATACATTAAGTGCCAAACAGCTATTACGCCACTCTTTTACAAAGCTGATTTAACTAGCCGAGAAAGTGATTCATGTGTACTATTATAAAGCCTCTACTCAGTGGTCTTGTTGTAGAAGGGCATAAGTAGATTTTTTTATGTCAGCTCAATGTGTTAGCCTAGCTCAGTTGGTAATGTCAAGGTTTTCCAATGCGTTCGTCTCGAGTTCGAGTCCCACTTCCGGTGCAGGGTAATAATTTGGTGTTGTGCTTATAGCTATTTGTAATTAATGTGTTTTGCAGCAAAATCAAATTATAAATTCCACCAACAAAAAGGGTAAACAATATTTAACCCGGCTTCAAGATAAAGCTGTGTAGTAATTATTGTTTATTCGGGAAAAGGTTGAATAACCGCCTTTCTAGTTCAAACACAACTAAAATGCAGAATAGCAGCTGTATAGAAGTGCTAATGGATATACAATAAGAGCTTGTCCAAACCGTCCCAACAGCCTTGTGTAGCTGACTAAGTTCGCCGGAATTGCCTGTATAGAGGTTGAGTAAAGGTTGCCTCATATATTGTAACAATTTTGAATACAGAATGCGGCTCTATTAATGAAATGAGCAACGCATTTACGTGTGAACATTGTTAGTTTTGTATTCTAGGATTTCGGAAAATTCGCAGCCAAATGCAAATTTTGCGGAATCACGATTTTTCACTGTCACTAATCATAATGTTTCAATTAAATATTATAAAAGAAATTTTTCAATATTTTGTTACATTTCTACCAGGAGAATTAACATTTTTTATTTAAATTTCAGAATGTCTGGTGAGTTACGCCCATTCCTAGGTTACTTTCACTTACAATAAGCACCGCATGTACGTATTATCTTTATCAATTGAATATTATTATTGCACACACATTTCCAGTTTCAAAATGTTCTTTTGAATTTAGTTTGTTTTGTAATTGTAAAAAGTATTTGGAATACAGGCAAAACACGATATATCACTAAATGATAACTTTATGAACACTTGAAACTAAATTTCAGCACACAAATTGATTGATTGATTTATCTTTATCAAAAAGCACACAAATTAACAAATTTAAAGCAAACATTGTTTAATTTGCTGACGAAAATTACACCGCAAAAAAAAAACACGTCAGCTTTCAAGCGCGGCCTACTGCGATCCTCCTTTTAAATTTTTTTTATTGAAATTGTCATAAAAAAGGGTTTGAAAAATTAATGATTAATTTTGTTTTTTAATGGTAATACAAACCATACCTAAACACTTAGAAATAACTAATTTTACACGTGACGGAATCCATCTTCGACATAAAAGATGAAACGTTAGCAAACATGTCATGTAATATTAAGTGCTCCGAGACTGAAGAGTTCGTTGCTTGACGAAAAGTATGTTTGATTGAGCTTTATTTCACGTCTGTTATGACACAACTTTATGTCAAAATTGACGCTCGTATATGTCACTCTCAAAGCACCTAAATTTATATGATTTTTTATAAGTGTGTAGACTTGAATTTGGTTTGCAGTACCTTCTCAAATTCAAATGAAATTTCGTGGATGAATAGATTTTATCCACTAAAGGAACTTTCTATGTGGATTTTATAAGTGCTGGTAATTGATTAATTGGAGTTCTGGTTATGCAGTCTGGCGAAAAATAAGTATGTAAAGATGGTATGTAATATGCTGAAAATAAATCATATGAAACCCTGTCAGTATCGCCTGAAGAAGGCTGCAAAAACAGCCTAATCGTTGAATAATTAAAAAACGTCAAGGAAAAAAATCTGCATCTTATTTGTGAACAGAAATTTACACTTCTCTTTGAAATTTTGTACTGTTTGAAGTCGCTTGACTACATAACCGAAACACCAATTAAATTAATTCAAAAACATTAAAATATGTGCCACTTTTTGAAGAAAGTGGAACTTTTAACAATATTTTTTTCGAAAGATTGTAAGGTAAAATTAATAAGACCTTCAAAAATTTGGCCACACAGTGAATTGAATAAAATTTTCCAAACTTTCTAAAACAAATTATTACATAAAATAAAAATGTATGCCTCTCAATGAAACCTATGTATTAAAAAAATGGTTTTCCTCATGAATACCATTATCGAAATTGAACTTTTTTTTAATGAAAGACGACTCAATTATATACAAGTCGTGCATGAATTGTAAAATGGGAACATTTAAAGGAAAAAAGTTTTTTTAAACCTTGATTTGATTTCCGTCGATCTTGTTTTCCGTACTGAGTACCAATGCTATCGACGCCAGGGGGCAGCTCCTAAACCTGGCCACTACCTATCAACTCATCAACTCATGATTCATGGATCGGGGACCAACGGCTTTTTTCCCTTCCGAAAGAAGACGTGATCAGAGATGTCAAAATATCCAGGTGGCGCCGACTGAGTTTGAAGCCAGGCCCATTGGGGTGAGTGGCAATCACGCTTACCACTACACCACCGGCACTGCTAAAGGAAAAAAGTTCTTCTAGCAAAAACTTTTTCAAGTTTCTCTCGAATTCTTATTTGAATTTTGAAGCACGCTCGTAAAAAAAATCAATTCAATTCATCGCTGCTCTTGATTTTGCAGGTTCATTGACATATTTGAGTATTGAACGTTTATGTGTGAATATATTTATTGCTAACATTACGTGATCAGTCAGCAGTTTTCCGCTTTAAAACAAGAATCTCAAAGAGTTGTCTTATTACGAAATCAGCTAATGATAGATTTCATAACATAAAATAAAATGAATCGATGGTGATCGGCCCGGCGTAGTGGTTGGTTTGCATCCATGTCTCACACGATCACGACTGCAAATATCATCCCCGGCCAAGTCACGAATGACCTCAAATGTGTTTAAGTTAAGTTATGTTAATATGTTTTAACAGATAATGTGACTATAATTTGGCTGATACAAAATTTATATTCACAGATGAACGCATCATTGAGACAGTACTAATGGATATTTTAGGCCACTATTGAAAATTTAGTCGATTGGTGAATTTATGTATAGGTCAAATTGGGGGCATTTAGGCCGACATTACATCCATTTCCTCTATAATTTTTTTTCACCAATGATTAATTAATTAGTTTAAATGGATTGATGACCGTTTTAGTAGCATAATTGTATACCTTATTACGTTGATTTTCCTTTAAATTATACTACTACAGTATCACTTTCAATATTCACTATTCACTATCACTTTTAAAAGCTATATCAGATTCGTATTTCACTCAGACTCATGCGATGTTCTTGGTGAGGGGTGAGCCGTTGCTTTTTCACGCCACAGATTCAATAGTTGTAGAATTAAATCGAAAATCAACGTAATAAGGTATAATAATTATTTTTTTATATTAGTAGTTCATACACACAACACAAATTTATCTTACATCCAGTGTAAGTTTGGATTTATTACATCCTTTGCATATGTTTCATACAACAACTGTAATGGCAGTTCTTTCAATGGACTACCGCGTACAAGTAAGTTTTCGACGGAATGCATATTTTTGTATAAAACCTCAATGAGATGATTTTCCTATTGTCGTTGATTGGATTTGTACCATAAAGTTTTTTTTTATTATTATAGTCACTTTAACGCTCTTGGGTCATTCGTGACTTGTCCGAGGGTGAGATTTGATCTCGTGACATTGCCGTGAGAGGTATGGATGCTAACCACTACACCGGGGTCGCCCCTCAACATAAAAGTTAATTATTTTATAAACATTCAGAAGAACACATTACAGATTCCGTTCATGACACAAAACATTGCAAATTCTGCATACTTTTCATGTACATTTTTAATAGCGATTACATTTCCCAGCTGGGTGTTCATTTTTCTTTTGTCCCGAGTTATTTATATTTCGACCTATTTGAGTGATGTCGGACATAAAATGAATTTAATAGTTTTATCAACCTAATGAAACAAAATAAAAAGTGTATCGATGGAAATATGTTCAGTCCGGATATAAACGATTTGTCACAGCTTTGTTAGTAGTCCATTATTGATAAAGACATTTTTTTACCAAGCCGAATAATAATTGGGTAGAGAGTTCTGACTCTTGTAAAAAAGTGACTTCAAGCTTAGCTTACTAAAACGATAGCAGCATGCGCCTAAATGTAGACTGTGAAATGTGTGTAGAGGAAAATCAAGCAAAAAACATCGCCAGAATCACACAGAGCAGGGATGCCAAGTTAACGTGTTCAATGCGGTCTGAAAAATTTCATCAGCACAAATTAATTTCAAACCAATTAGGCTGTTTATTTTATTTTTAATTTATTATTAATAACAAAATATTGAAGGGGTAACAAAAACGATTATTCAGACGAACAAATGGTTTCTCATTAATTTGTGAAAATTATTCGACAATTGCTAGAATACTAGCTTTTTAACGAGGGGGCGACGCATCTAAATCTTAATTTTAGATGCTCAAAAAATCTCATCTTAGCGAATCAATATTTGAAAAATCTTCTTGAATTTCGCGCATCTACTTGCATTGCGCATCATCTCTTTGCAGAAAATCGTCAGAATCGTCATAAATCTTATGTCTATCTATTCAGTGTACCCGCAGCTAGCCATAGCAAAACACAATCTTTCCTACATCGTCGATAGTGTCAAAGAATCAAATTAGTTACAATGCATTGAACAAAGTTGTGTTGCATAATGATGCCGATTTAAGTAAATTTAACAGATACTTATAAATAATACTAAACCCCTCAAATCTTCATATCTTGAAAAGTTTCTCAACTACTAGTTCGCACCCCTCCTTATTGTTCTGAGTGTTGGCTCCAACTCTGGACCAAAAAGGATGAATCTGAGCCGTTCCACAATGACGTTCACGAATTCAATGAATACAGGTTAATATTACCTAAACACAGCAAGCAAATATGATTTACCCAAATGACAATTACTTACCATAGATGATCAGCTGTAAGAACCAGAAGGACCGGTGATATCAATCCACGAGGCGTCCGTTAAATGTGTTCGTTAATCTTTTTATTTTCGTTCACTATCTTCAATATGTAATCTCACAATTGGTTCTAGGAGTTGGTCTATTACGCACCATTTCTGTTGATGTTCTGTAAGTTTATTTTTTTCCGGAAATTTACCGCATCAGTGAGCAAGTTCAATGAACATCAGTGTCGGCTTTTTGTTTTTCTCTTGTATCAATTGGCAGTGCTATGAGTTTACTAACTCGTTTTTTTTTTATCGGTCAATTGGTACTCTAAATATGTGCGACTCAAGTCACGGATTCTCGTTTTTTTTTTAACTTTCACACAAGATCTATGTGGCTTTCGCAGCGCTTCGGTCTATCAAGCATTTTGGTAGGTATTTTTCATTTGCATCCGGATACAGTATACGATTATTCGTTAGTAATTGATATTCTTATCTAAAGATAGATGTGTGCCAGCTAGTTCCATGTTTTGAGGGTGTGTTTATCTTGTAAGTTTATTTAATTTTGACTTTTTTTTTGTTATTCCTTCAAACTATTATTCAAATAAAACTTTGAACAGTTTACTAAATCTCTCCTGCTTTCTATCTTCCATGCTATAATTTCTTGTAAATACTACCGAAAATCAAATTATCCCTTCTGAATTGGCTCAGATAATTCCGATTCGATTCGTTTTTCATCTCTTCTGCGTTATATATTTCTTATAAAACTTTAACTACGCTATAATTTTCTGAATGTTATAAACTAATTTCAGCATTTTAACATTTCTGTTTAAAAAAAGATCATTTATCAATTGCATTTATTTCTTCTTTTTAGCTACTCGATTTAATTTATATCCGATTTTATCTTTTCGTTTAAGGTCATTCGTTTTACACCACTGGTTTTGGCTTTCGGGATGGTGTTGTAAATTTTTGTCTGTCTGTATATGTGTGTGTGTGTTTCATATGGACAGTGGAACGTTTGTAAAGATTTAACTTAGATATTTTGAAGAATTATCCTTTAAAACTAACAATGGGAAACCTTTTTCTGAAGATTCAGTTGCTAGACAATGGGTGACAATAACAAGTGTGAGTTTTTTTTGTCCTGATTTTATAGAGGATGCAGTATCAATATGGAAAGTGCTTGTGAAATTTTACAGTTATTGTCGTTTTACTGCTAAAGTGAATTTCCGGGAGAAATTCCGATCAGAATGAACAAATGGAGATGTTTTTCGATTGTGAAAGTATCAGAAATTAGTACCGTCCACGGTTTGGACGTGAAAAAGAATTGTCATTGAGATGTGTTTCGCATTATCTACTTCATACCTGTCACAACGACCAAAGCACTTAATGTTTCATTTATTTCATATTTTATCAAGATCAAACCGAACCCTTCCTGACACTTCCAGTGCGATACCAACATCTTCCCCTTTTAAAGCAGTTTGATGATCGATTTGAATGACAAAATGGTGGCATTTTACGCTGTATTTCGTTTGTGCTTCAAATTCTAGCTTTGAGTAGACCCGTATCTGTATCAGTCTGGAATGATTTTCTCGTGGAATAATGTCGAGGATCGCTTGGAAATCTGCCAGAGTTAGGTTGTTTGATGCATTATATTTAGTCATTTGTGTTTTAACTTGAGACGATATTTATTCAAATGGATGAATTTGTAATCGATTTAAAAGAAATCAACTTATCATTTTTTGATATGGATTATCTACTTACTTCTGCCATTGAATTCTTAATGGGAGGATACATTAAAGCTCTAAACATCGATACCGTCACGATCTGTTTCGGATTCAGCAATCACTTCTACCGGAAACTTCCACGTAAGCTTCGTTCAGATCCGTTCCGATACAATCCAAAACATCACTGGTAGTACACATTGACTCATTGTAAATTTTAAACTCTAATCTAATGCTTCAACAGTTTCTCTAAATGCTATTTTTCACACGTTCTTCAACAATTTATTAATAATTGTTCGATTTCCTCTTACATGAGATATACTTTTGGAATTTGTTCTTCCGCAGTTTTTAGAATACACTTTTACACTGATATAGATCTAGACTATTCACCTCCATAATACATCTATCACTTTTGACTATATAGCACATAGAGCCTGAACAAACTTTCGCGTTAATGTGCGTAAACATTTTCCCTAAGCCGCTTCGATTGGCTACACATTAAGAACACGCGCTACGCTTACCAAATCTTGCTTCAGTTCGTTGATTTTGTATTTCCAGGATTACTCGTCAATTATTCACCGTTCTCTGCTGCTCGTTTCCGAAACAACATCACTCTTCAACAGTTTCAAAAAAATAACTGAAAACCGACAATTTTGAGCAATGGTCACAATAACGATTTTTCTATCGTTTTACTGGTATTACAAATATTGACACCGACGACGAGTAAGATTAATGCTATGCTAGCTATCGATTTTCCTTCCATTGAAGTTTAAAAAAATTTCGATTTACTGCTTCGAAACACTGGGTTCTCGTACTTTGGCTCTGTGCTCTCGTGATTCCGGGTGCGAGGTCGAATCACGCGGGTCTTTCCAACCCTAATCAGAACGGATGAGTAATGGGGATGTCGAATCAGACAAAGAAAACGTCGCATGAGGGTGCAGAAATAACGTAGAACGACGTGCGGATGCGCCGAAATGTATACTATACGAGTTGCTCGTATCTTTTCAACATATTTCAGCCGGCCTTCATCCATCGGTCTATCGAGTATTCTAGAGCAGCGACCCAGCTGGTGGAGGAAAAAGAATAAAAGCAAATGAAAAACTTATTTTTATCGGTAAACGTTTGTAGATCTTTCGTGATTGTAAAGCCAATTGGCCCCATAATTAGGTGGTACATTAGGGTAGGTAAACTTTACTACACCCTGTTCCCCATTATCTTTCAATGCGTATTGAAGTCTTTAACAACTGTGCAACATTTGAACGAATTTGGTTGTAATCTCGATTTGCGGGAGAATTTAAAATTTTGTATGGGAAAATGTATAAGAAACGGAACGATCCACACCATTTGCTTACCAAATATCCAAATAATTCTCAAATTTCACCAAATCTCGAACTAAGATTGAGAATACAAAACGATTTTAACTTTGTACAAAAAGATACTAAGCTTTCACTTTAGACCAAGTGTCACAAAAGCTCATATATATGCCTATAGATATGTATGGAGCAGAAGGTAAAAATGCATATAATAATAACTTTTTTCTCTCAGAATTCTAATCGAAAAATGGTTCTGCATAGTATTCCTAATATATTTACAATATTTGAAATTTTAGCAATATTTGAATTTTTGGCAAGCAAATGAATAGGTTCGTTTCGTTTCCCATACATTTTCCCATACAAAATTTAAAACTCTCCCGCAAATCCAAATAATACCCAATTTATTTCCAATTTGAATCCGTTCTTGGGGACCTCAATACATATCGGAAGAGCAGTGGGGAATAGATTGTGATCCACCATACGAACTTTAACCACCTGTGACTGTGCATGCAGTCAACAGATTTTGCTAAACCAGTTTGAAATTGCAATCGACAGTGATTTTCAGAAGCATAAATGTAATTGATAATGCAAAAAAAAAAAATAATCCAAGAACGTATCAAGTATGATCCACTCACCGTTTCTTATCCATTTCCGTATCGGTATGGAAGTAGTAGTGACGCAAAGTCAACTCTGGAGGAACGATCTCAAAGGCATATTTCTTGCCACCAGCGGATGACGGTTGCACCCGATAGCCTTGCAGGCAGGCCATTCCTGTTTCAATGAAAAAAAGTAAACCAAATAATTTTGAATTACAATCATCATCTCTTTCAAAACTAAACGCTTAGATACTCGCTGGTCCCCGTATCTTACCCAAAGCATTCTTGCTGCTAGTTTCATGGTAGAAATAGAGCACAGCATCCTTCAGCACGCAGTACCTCTTGGTCCACGAGCGCCACTTGCTTCCTAGCTTCGTCAACGAACCCACACAGTCCGGTTTCGGAATCCCATTGGGAGGCAGCCGTAGGTTTCGGGCGCTGAAAAACAAAAACCAATCTCGCTGTACGCTGATCGTTCAAAGGATCAAACCTTAACCGAGTATCTACCTGGTATCCAGCCAGAGATCGCTCTGCTGAGCCGCATGGCTGATAACGGCAATCCATCGGCTGGCAGCTTCCTCCGTATCTCCAGCTAGCTTCACCTTGGTACCCTCTTCCGTTTCGATGGCGAAGGCGTACGGTCGACCACCGGCTTCCACACAAAGTCGATCCACCTTGTGATTCGTCAGGATGATAGCACCGATTGGTTGGATGTCCTGGATTTTGAAAATCGGTTGCAGTTTGTGTGATATTTTGCAGAATTTCAAGAATGCCTTACCAATTCCGACTTGTAATAATAAAGACAGTGGTCCGGGCGGAGCGAAAACCACCGCCTTACCCATTTTGTTGTGGAACTGCTAGAAAGGCGCCACAGAAAGCCGGAATAGATGGCTGGATTCATTGTGGTGTCTTCCAAAGGCGACAAGACTCCGATCGTGCGGGCCACCTAGATGTAACGTTGATGATCAATAAGTTTTCTTTGGGATTAGCTTGTTATAGCTCACCTCAAGTTCCAGCGTGTCACTACCGGCGTGAGCGATCTTGACCACTTCCGAGTGGCTTTTATCGATCACTGATATCCCATTCACGGAAAGAACGATATCTCCAACTTCAAGACCCGATGTTTCCGCTGGAGTATCCGGTTCAATGGCAGAAACTACCACCGGTTTGGATCCGTGTATTCGAAACCCAAATTCTCCAGACTTCCTACATACCACAACCGATTTGTCTGTTTCTGAAATGATTATCACGATCTTTGACTAAAACTTACAAAGGAACCTACAAAGTCATACCAAAGCTATTCGTATTCTGCCGCCGGTACATTTCTACGCACGACTTCCGATGAACCAGCCTGTGGGTGATCGCCTGATACTTCTTGCGGAAATCCTTTTCGGACTCGGTCGATCCTCGCCGTTCCGCAAGATCACGAGGCGGTCGATCGAAGCTGCCTTCACCGGCCAGATCATGCCGTCTCCACACGTCCCTATCCGCTATGCAGATCCACAACCCCGCCTTGTAGTTACCGTGGTAGACACCCTGTTCCGGTTCCACCTGATGTTCACTGTAGGGAGCTACAGGCGCGACACAAGGTGAAGATCCTGCGGGTCGTAGTTTACCAGGTTCACTGTCATCCTTTCCACGTTCCTCACTCTGAAAAATACCTCCCGTAAAATTGTGATTCGTCTGAAAAATTTAAAAACTCACCTTCGCTCGATACTCCTGCCGCGATTTAAAGTGCCTGCGGTCGGCGTGACGATCTTCGGAGCGAAATCGCTTGTCCATCTTCTTGTACAGTCGTGTGTGGTGAGGGGTTTTCGTACAATCGGGCGAATCAGCAAACCCCTCCGGTGGTTGAACGATATCGGGACGATCACCGTCCGTCGAGTCCAGCGTCAGGGCCGTCATGGATCCCTCGGATTCGCCAGGAACGCTCACAACCTCGACGTCCTTACCACAGTGATGGCAGTGAACCTTTGGAAAGTAGTCAACGGTTAGTTCTTAAGCCAGGGAAACGATCACGGAAGAACCTACTTGCTTTTCCGAATGGGATAGCGCATCCGCCTCGCTGTAGAATACGGAGTCTGATCCTGGTGAAACCGATCGAAGCGATTCGGTGGAAATCGCTTGCAATCGTTTCTCTGGAGAAATTTTCTGCTTCATTGGAGAACCGACGGAAGGAGGACTCCGGATTTGCGAATAGTACTGACAAGGACTGAGCTTCGGGGTGGCGATGGTAACCGCAGGCAGGGTGGAAGCCTGGGGCTTCTCGGGACTGCGAATTAGTGGAGTTTTGACGCGCCGCATTGGCGTACTGACGGTGTCCTCGCCAACAGAAGATCTTGATCGTGGTGACTTTCGAGTCTTAGGCCGGAATCTCTTCTGCTTGCTGCTGGGACTTGCTCCGTCCAGAACGTTCAGCGCACCCTTGTCTTCGGGGGATAGTTTCTTGAAGCCTGGGCTAGGTTGCCTCAGCATCGGAGTGGTGTAGGTCTTGAGCGAGTCCTTATCGAACTCCAGCTTGAACAAACTCTTTTTCCTTCTCCGTTCTTCCTCATTCCAGTCACGCCCCCTTCGGGTGGGTCTTGCCAGTGTTCCCTTCACGTCTTTCTCGTCGTGGGAAGAAGAGTAGCGTTTTTCACTTCGCTCGTCATCGGAGATGGATTCCGGTTTGATTTTTGGCTTCGCTGGCAGTGTCTTCGGTATGGTTGGTCGTGATGGGGAGCCGGTCCGCTTCTTGTTGGCCCTGTTGTAACTTCCGCTGGAGCTGCTGCTGACCGAGTGGGCTGGCGATGCTTTCGGTAGGGGTGGAATCTGAGGGGGCGGCGATGGTTTTTCCTCGATTGGCGGTGTATCTTCGCAGATGGCATCGACCCGGGCTAGGCTGTAGAGAGAGGACGCACTCTCAAAGGATGAACCCTCCTGGGTTATGTTGGCTGCGGTGAATTTTAGGGGGTGTTAGATTGGGTTTAGAATTGGGAATTTGGGAAAACTTCCATTGAACGTGATTTTTTTTTTGCAAAGCTGGGTTTTTAGCCATGTTGGTTTGAACATGTGTACAATTATTGATAAGCGGTTTATTTATAAGCATGGTTTTAGTTTCGAGAATGAAATGTATGATTATAATTTAGATTTTTACATAATTAAATGTTAAATTTGCGTGACTATATTATTTTCAATTTTACATTTTTTCTGTTAACGTATTAGGTATTGTACCCCCTGCAGTCCTCTAGTGCCTCTGTTTATTAGACTCAGTGCTGCAGTTGCGGTGAGTCGTCGACTAACTTGGTTCTTTTTTGGATTTTTGATCATGACAGCACCCCTAGATTAATATAGCGACTAACGTATTTTGAACAACGATACTCTAAGCCCAGGAAAGACGTGAACATTCCTTGACCGGTATGGGAATCAAAACCGGTACCGTTCAACATGACCTTGATTAATAGCAGCACCTTTACCGGCTGAGCTAAGGAAGGCCCTACTTTCCACTAATAACCACTCCAAACAATGACAACACGAACTTACTCAACTAACTAACTACTAACCAATGATTGGAAGTTGAAAGTAAAATTAACTCTGTCGAACTTCAATTAACCAAAGCAAATTGAAAATTCCACAGCAACAAACAGAGTGCATTTTTCATCGTTAATAGAAACGCTTAAAGCATCATGTCAACTTCAATAAAACAGATCATCCCTGGGCCGATTGCTTTCATTATTGTTTAAATCGATACAAAGTGTTCTCCTCTCTCGCAACCATTCTCGCTGGAAAACAAAACAAAACATGAAAAATTGACCCCACTATAAACCTGTTTGATTAAGGCTTGTGAAATTAATTACACCAAAGTACTCCCCTTGTAGGACCGCACAATATTTGCACCACTGTCGCAGTGCCTCTGCGAAAGCAAACCCCATGATAATGACTATAATTGATTATGCAGTCGAACGATAAATGATCGATTATGTTGGGAAATAACAATCAACAGCTACCACTCCCGTCCACGGGGTGAATTTTGGTGAGGATCAATGGGTGATACAGGTTTAAACAGTTATCAAACGACAATTAATAAACACTGCAAATAGCCATTAATTTGCATTATGCTCGAATGCGTAACATCGATTCTATAAAGCGGGTGAAAAAAAAACGAACGAACGGAACGTAAAGGTTAACAACTTATCAAGCGGAACGCAAATATTCAGGAAGTGTACGGGGTCCTACAGACCGGGAAGTGGGGATATTTGTATGATAACAACAACGAAACAGCAATAGTGAATGAGCGAGTAAGAGAACATAATTGGGCTTTGAAGAATGGGCTTCGAACCTGTTACTTGTTTGGTTGTTGGTTGTCTAATGGCGTGGGTGGTTTTAAATATACCTTTGGTTCCACCGACGGAGGACGGTCCGGTGATGGTGCGTTTCGAGTTGTCGGTACAGGTGGCGTAGTCTTCGGTGGTACTTCCCTCGGAGCCGGCACCACCGTCCCCGAATAGATCCTTGTCATCGAGGCCTTTCAGTTTGGCGTGCTCGAAACGGGGAGAAGGAACAACGCTAGCGCTAGCCAAGGGGATCCGCGAGGACGAAGACGATGAGACTGGTGGCGCTGAGGAAGGTTGTTTCTGATACTCCGCTGGGTGGGCAAGTTGTGGTGTTGTTGTTGTTGGAGCACTTATGGGCGTTTGGTCCTTCAGGCTTGCAGGCACGATACGTTCAATGTTGTCTGGAGAGCTGGGGATGAATGAGAGGAGGATGAGGAGAATGGAATCAGTTACTAATGGTTGGGTAGGATGGTTTTGGAAATTAGTATCCAATTTACTTTGTAAATAATGTTTGATTTAATTAGTGATGACACCTTTAATGGTGGGAAAAACGATTTTAACGACTGAGCGACGATGATAACTGATTGTTAAATCGACGATGAGTTTGGTAGTAATGGTATTTTGTTTTTCGTAAACTTGGCCTTGTGCAGTGTTGTGATAGTAAATTTAGAACTCATTACTAACTGATTTTTCATACGTGTGCCTTTGCTCACCCTTGCCTCCTTGGAGCGCCCAAAATAGAAATTTATTAATCTACACACAATTTAAACTAGAATAAGGGCCATTCGCTCATTTTCAACTTCTATTCAATATTCATACTGCCGTACTTGAATGTAACAACTCAAGGCAGGAGTAGCCGTCAACAATGCTGATGATGGTACAGCACGCAACAACCACCCTACTGCTTTCTCTCTGAGATGACGTCATGACCAAACGAGAGGAGCAACACAATAGTTGGGTAAAGAAGAATTGCATTACTACACATCATCGACCGGAAATGCTTTCGGCAACGTGGGGCTTTAGGTAGTGATGAAACGTCGCTAGAACTATTTCACAGCCGCAGACAGTATTTGAGCAAAGTCAAGCGCACACTTTTTGCCTGTGAATTTGAATTTGAATTTTTGAAGACATACTTCAAATCTCCATGTACATCGTACGGGTTAGGCAAAGAGTGTACGTTTGACTTGCACTGTTCCATTAATGGCCCTTCGCTAAGTACAATCATACTCTATGCCCAGGAAAGTCGGGACATTTTCCAACCCAAAAAATTCCTAGACCGGGCCGGGAAACAAACCCAGCATGGTCATGGTATTTCAATCTTTAAAAAAAAGTGTCCTGGTCTAGAAGAAGAAATTTTGAGAAATCACATTTAATCGATATTTAATCGACGGCATAATAAGACGTCTACAGGTTCTACAATTCGGCCATGAGCTCAGGGAACAGTGATCAACGTAAAGGACTTTGAGAAAAGATAAGTAACATCGATCTTGAAAAAGCTTGACAAAATACCGGTGAATAAAAAAACACTAAAAGTTCTGGGTGGGTTAAGGTAATTCTGAAGGGAGCCTGGCCTCCTTGGCACCCCTATTAGCTACGCCAATGCAAAAGCTTCGTGTTAGAGAGCATTTCCAACCACCTCTAGAATACGGGTAAAACCAGTCTACAAGCAGCTAGTCATAAAATTTAAAAATACTCAATTCTTGGAATATTGGCTTTTCAGTTTTTCAGGTTTTTGGACTTGATCTTCTTCAGGAATATAATGTTAAACATTCTTTCGTTCTGCGCAAAAACATAACGATCTTAAAATAAACCTAACCTTGATGAAGATCCTAGATAAAATTATAATCAGCACTTTTTTTTTGTAGATTGAAATACTTAACAAGACCATGACCATGCTGGGTTTGTTTCCCGGTCCGGTCTAGAAATTTTTCGGGTTGGAAAATGTCCCAACTTCCCTGGGCATAGAGTGTAATTGTACTTGCCATACAACTATTCTAATGCAAAAATGGTTCATGTAGCAAAAACTCTTTATTAATAACTGTGGAAGTGCATATAGAACACTAAGCTGAGAGCACGAAATATGCTGATATACGATAAGAAATAAGCTTCAAATGCGAAGAAGAAGAACAAGAAGAAGAATAAGAAGAAGAAGAAGAAGAAGAAGAAGGAGAAGGAGAAGAAGGAGAAGAAGAAGAAGAAGAAGAAAAAGAAGTAAATATGTATAAACTTTCCCAAAGGTCTAGACTTTTCTGGAGCTTTCGGTGCATCCCTGGAACTGTCCTTAAGTACTTTGAATTTATAAAAAAAATCCCATGACTCTTTTCCTGAATTTGTCAGAAATTTTTAAAAGTTCGGACAAGTTAATTGAACTACCTAGAATATGTGTCTGCTATTCAACATCGCGTTTGAAGGTGCCACGATGTTCCTCTGACCATTATTGCACAGCAAAAAATTAATTTTATTATCACATCAAAGTGGATGCAGTTCAATCGAGTCGAAAATATGGTGTAATATTACATGCCAAAAGGGACAAAATCATCATTAATACAGTACATGAACTGAAATTACGCTGCTTTTACTGCATTTGTTTATTGTTGTTGCCGTTAAAAATACATGAGATTTTCGACATGATTGAAATGCATCCTCTTGGGTGTAATATTAAAATTTATTTTTGGCTGTGTATCGAAAATTGAGTTCCATCAAAAGCAATTATATCAATCGATTCAATCTGCAACTCTGGAACAAAATTAAAAATAATCGTAGGGCACATTTTTGAGCTACGCCATTTTAAACACGCATCTGCATCAATATCACTAAAATTAGTGACTTTCTTTTACATATGCTTATTTTTCAAGCTCCACGACATAAAATGTCGATTGCAGAGTGTTTTATATATTTATTACTTGGTTGTAATTTGTAACTGTTGCTAATTTTTGGAAATCGAAAGGACTTTGTACTGCTTAAGTTTTTTTTTAAATTAAATATGTTAAGAACTAAATATATTTAATGAATCTCAAAGTGGTTTAACATAAATGACCACTATTGTAGTCAACAACAACACGCAGGAGATGCAATTTGTAAGTCTTTGATGTTTTCATAGTCTTGTACCTTTCCCAAGTCTTAAAAAGTCGCTGTGAACCAAATCAGATGTCTGTTCGTTGTGCTAACCCAAACCTTATCCAATTGCATCACAAAACTATTTCAAGAGAAACTTGGTTGTATAATTACACTAGTTTACAAAACAACATAAAAAGTGTGAACTTTAGTGGTTGACCAACGTTTCTAATGCAAAATTCTACGCTGAATTCAATGCCGTGGTTAGAAAAAATTAAAGTAGAGCAATTTTTGAGATATACAAAAATTTTGATTTTTGAATTTTGGACAAAAGTACGATTACTAAAATGTCAATATCTTTGGAACTAGTGCACCAATTTAAAATTTTTTTTTTATGAAAATGAAGCTAAATAAATTTGCTATCGTTCACTGGAATATTATGTCTTGATTAAAAATTTAATTTTGAAGTCATTTAAAAATTTACAGCATTTTTTTTTTATTTTTTCCTGCGAATTTTCCATAAAAATCTTGTTTTAATCAACATTTTTAATGGGATAAAAAGATTCAAAAAATCATTCCATAATTTATTCTTAAAGTCCATTAAAAACTGGAGAAAATGAGCCTTTAATGGATGAAATCGGTTGGAAATTGTCGAAGTTATGAATTTTTTTGTAAAATCATGGAAATTGAATGTTCCAAGATTGGCCGTTGTCCCGCTCCTAGGTTCATGCACCACTTCCAGTAAGCCTTTCTGCGGACGTGTACGCATACGGTGCATTTCACTAACACTACCAGCTGTCACGCAAAATTAAATGGGATATTTTCAACAATATAATTTACGCTAGTGTTTGTGAGACCGCTCGGCGAGAACCTAACGCAACCAACTCAATTTGACAGATTTCTTTCTTTAACATTGCTTAACGATGTATACGACAAAACGTGAATTCAAGTGTAAAAATGATCCTCAAAAGTTTTGTTACGCGTGTGGCAACTATATATTTACAAAATCGGTCAATTTCACTGCTTCGTTGCAAACTGCATACAGGCTTTATTTTAAAATTGATCCTGGAGACTTTGACAAACCGTGGATTCCAAAAGTACTATGTAGTTCGTGCAAAACGTGCTTGGCTAGGTGGATGTTAGGCGCAAGGTAAATTTATTTTTTGAATAACTTTCATATAAACAATTTATGTACAGCATGGTAGTGCTTTGTTCTTTCCTGATCGACATTATCTTACTTCATCTATTTTTGATAAGTGTTAATGTCTTACTAACTAACTCACTTATTTGCTATCTGTCAGTCGCTATTTGTCCTTTGACATGCCCACCATATGGCGTCGACCGTTTTGTCATGCAACGGATTGTTATTTCTGCTTGACAAAAGTTAAGCTACAAGGACGTCACAAAACAGTTGAGTATCCACAAGTGGCTTCTATGACAAAACCTGTTCCACATTCAAGTTCGGTCCCGTATCCTGTTTATCCAAAGCGGAAACGAGCGCCCTCTGTTGAATCGACCGTTACAAAAAGTGAGGAGGAATTCAAGGAGGAATGCGAGGAAGACTTCGAGGTGGAATTGGAAAGAAACCCAATTTAATGATTTGGTGCGAGATCTCGACTTATCGAAGGAGAAATCCGAATTGCTGGCATCACGCTTGAAAGAACACAACATGCTGAGCAAGGAGGTCAAAATTTCTTGTCACAGGAATCGTCACAAGAAATTTGACAAATATTATTCTACAAAGGACAAGGCATGTTTTTGCCATGACGTAAACGGCTTGTTTGAAGAGTTTGGTGAGCCATATGATCCAGCTGAATGGCGTTTATTCATCGATAGCAGCAAGTTGAGCTTGAAAGCCGTTTTACTGCATCAAGGGAATGAGAAACTTTCTATTCCATTAGCTCATGTCGTTAATATGAAGGAAACGTATGAATCAATGGCTCTATTGCTCAATTTGATAGATTACAATCAACACAATTGGAAAATTTGCTCCGATCTTAAAGTGGTTGCCATGTTGACTGGATTGCAACAGGGATACACAAAATATATGTGTTTTTTGTGTAAATGGGACAGTCGAGCTCGTAAGGAACACTACGTCCGAAAAGATTGGCCAAAACGGGATAATTTCACAATTGGTAAAGACAACGTTAAAAATGATCCTCTTGTGGTAAAAGAACGCATAATACTTCCACCACTACATATAAAACTTGGGTTATTCAAAAATTTTGTCAAAGCGTTGCAAAAAGAAGGGCCGGCATTCCAGTACTTGAAATCAGTATTTCCAAATTTATCTGACGCAAAGATAAAGGAAGGTCACAAAACTGCTCAATGATTCCGCATTCAATACAGTTTTGA